CTGAGTGCTCAACTTCTGCAATGATACTGTCATTCAGAGAAGCATATCACTATCCCCTATGGAATTTAGAAAGATGGTAATGACAATCCGATTGTGGAAAGTTCTGACAAAACATGGTCCACTGGAGAAGGGAATGGCAAACCACTTCAGTATTCTTGCCTTGAGAACCCCATGAACAGTATGAAAAGGCAAAAAGATGGGACACTAATAGTGAATTCCCCAGGTTGGTAGGTACTCAGTATGTTACTGGAGATCAGTGGAGAAATAACTCCAGAAAAAAATGAAGAGACAGAGCCAAAGCAAAACAACACCCAATTTTGGATGTGACTGGTAATGGAAGTCAAGTCCAATGCTGTAATAGGACTGCATAGGAACCTGGACTGTTAGGTCCATGAATCAAGGCAAATTGAAAGTGGTCAAACACGAGATGGCAAGAGTGAACATTGACATTTTAGGAATCAGCTAACTGAAATGTACTGGAATGGGTGAATTTAACTCAGATGACTGTTATATCTACTACTGTGGGCAAGAATCCCTTAGAAGAAATGGAGTAGCCATCATAGTCAACAAAAGAGTCTGAAATGCAGTGCTTGGACGCAACCCCAAAAATGACAGAATGATCTCTGTTCGTTTCCAAAGCAAACCCCACAATATCACAGTAATCCAAGTCTATGCCCTGGCCAGTAATGCTGAAGAAGCTGAAGTTGAATGGTTCCATGAAGACCTACAAGACCTTTTAGAACTAACACCCAAAACAGATGTCCTTTTCATTATAGGGGACTGGAATGCAAAAGTAGGAAGTCAGGAAATACCCGCAGTAACAGGCAAATTTGGCCTTGGAATACAGAATAAAGCAGGGCAAAGGCTAACAAAGTTTTGCCAAGAGAATACATTGGTCATGGCAAGCACCTTCTTCCAACAACACAAGAGAAGACCTTACAAATGGGCATCACCAGATGGTCAATACTGAAATCAGATTGATTATATTCTTTGCAGCCAAAGATGGAGAAGCTGTATACCAGTCAGCAAAAGCAAGACAGGGAGCTGACTGTGGCTCAGATCATGAACTCCTTATTGCCAAATTCAGACTTAAATTGAAGAAAGTAGGGAAAAACCATTATTAGACCATTCAGGTATGACCTAAATCAAATCCCTTACGATTATACAGTGGAAATGACAAATAGGTTCAAGCGATTAGACCTTACAGAAGGAGTGCCTGAAGAACTATGGATGGAGGTTCATTCCATCCAGGAAGCAGTGATCAAGACCATCCCCAAGAAAAAGAAATGCCAAAAAGGCAAAATGGTTGTCTGAGAAGGCCTTACAAATATCTGAAAAAAGAAAAGTGAAAGGCAACGGAGAAAAGGAAAGA